TATAAAAGATGGGGATATAAAACCGAATAAACATTTACGAGTTTGTAGTAGATTTGATGAACTATTCAATTTTCAGAAAATCGGGCTTTTTGTCAAGGATCAGCAATTAAACTAACCGTGGTAATATTTTCATTGTTTGAAGAGAAGACACCCACTCACTTTCATATTAGAACAAAATGAGCGAAAGGTATTCATACTGCGTAACCTATGAGCATAAAAGTGTTTATTGTGATTTTTTTGCTCACATTAGAGCGAATTTATATGAATCACTTGTACCGTGCCTTCTCAACACGTGTTCGTTTTTCTATAGTAGCCCTGGATGTTTTTGTCCTTTATGATTCGACATACGAATTGTTGAATGCCCTCATTAAAGTTTTGTTATGACGTGTGGTGTAGTGGATTGAGCGTCGTGCAAAATAACTTGTTCTTGTTGTTACCCTTCCTGGCATATGGGGATACAACAAAGACCAGTCACTCGGAGTCCGTATACTGTCTGAGTAGAATATCTATGTTAAACAGCCCGGACACGTACAAGCAGTCATATGTACGTCATTGCATAAGTTAAATTATCTTGAACGTGACGTTAAACCCCATTTCTCCCCACCTCTATTACGATATAAAGAATATGTTAGTATACTAGATATAGTTCAGGAGCGGAGATAACGCGTAGTTGTTAAAGCGCGGAGTCACCCGAAGTCACCCGAAATCGCCCGGAGGACAGGGTTAGATTCTCCGATGAGGTATGACTTGAATACTGCAAATACGGCGTACAATATAAATCATTCACTGACGATAGTTCTACCTCTTCATAATGCCTATTTTTAATGCCACACAAGCTAATTTCAAATAGACACTGTTTAGATACTTCGCAGTTTCCTTCAAGTACAGTTTAGGTATCACATGTACTTGAAATTATTATATATATTCGTACATCTTGTCTCGTCTCATGCAGTTAATCTTACATTGATTTACTTATGATAGACTTGGAAAACCAAACCATAACTGCACATTTCGAAACATTTCAACATGTCCAAAGGCATTATTTCAAAAGAGACATTCAATCCTTTCCCCTTGTTTAATCATGATGAGACAGACAACTATACAATCAAATCCCAGCAAAACAATGAAACCAATATATTCAAGGGTAGTTTGGGGAAGTTTGAAGCTGCGAACACTTTGATGCGAGACACCAACACGGCGCCAAAGTCAAAGCTGAAGGTTGAAAAGACAATTTTTGTTAACAAAAAAATAGAAATATGAGTCAAAACACACCAATTGTTGTAATCATGCGCAGCCATTTGCTGAGTAGGGAGACAGCTGCCTGCACGATGGACTACTTTTGTGTCACGTGATCGGGCAATCTGCGGTATCACCAGGTCTTGTGTTTGGATCGTTTCCGATCACATTTCAGGACATACAATTGTTTTTATGAAATGAGGAGCAAACGTTTTTCACATCACATATTGAGATCTTGGACAGTTGTCGAGCTCACATTTACTTGTTTAGGTAAAAACCTGAGTAATTATTATATTTTTTAAAATTAATTTAAATCTAAATTTAAAACTCATTAGCTACGAAGACTGAGGAGAAAACAATGCGTATCATTACACAGACTTTGCATGGATTACAGTGGGGAAAAAAACCTATCAGCAGACTCTTGTGTATTAATGAAGACGGGGAATTCAACATCGTTTTTCTTGCGATGCTTCGTTTTTTTGTACAGAGACATGTTCTAGTACCTTCATCACATGCTTGAAAGAATATGGATGTTGCAGTCCATAAGACAACTCCCTATTAACTGATACTACAGCTGCAATATCGCTAGATATCTGGTATGTCGTTTTATTCTCTGAACTTAATTGTACGTGAAGGTACCGTCAAGTTGGCCGCCGTCATATTGCAGGATTATTGTTGTTTGTTTGTTGTTTCACGCCGCACTCAGCAATATTCCAGCTATATTACGGCGGTCTGTAAATAATCGAATCTGGACCAGACACTCCAGTGATTTACACCAGACGCTCCATCGATCCAAGCAATTGGGATACGATGACATGCATCAGCCAAGTCAGCGAACCTGACCACCCGATCCCAGAACAATAAACACAACATCAAGGTACACATATGTTTCATAACGGGTGTATTTCATATTTTTGAAATATATTGTCATTGCTGTACCAAGGGACTGACTTCCATCTTGTCCGGCCCATTACCAAAGTGACCCGTGAAGATTCCGGGGTAGAATAGGTCTTCAGCAACCCATGCTTGCCGTAAAAGGTGACTATGCTTGTCGTAAAAGGCGACTAACGGGATCGGGTGGTCATGCTCGCTGACTTGGTTGATACATGTCATCGATCCCAATTGCGTGGATGGATGCTCATGATATCAATCACTGGATTGTCTGGTCCAGACTCGATTATTTACAGATCCCCGTCATATAGCTGGAATATTGCTGAGTGCGGCGTTAAACAACCAACCAACCAACCAACCAACCAACCATTACCAAAGGCATGCTCTGGTATTGCTTCATGGGGATTTTACGTCCGCCTCTCATGATATTCGTTGCTATTCGACTCCCAGGCATGTCTTAATTCACTGTGTGAATCTACTGTCGTTACGTAGCAACGCTATCGTGGAAATAGGAAAGATCCAGAGATGTGAAATTATGTTCTATAATCTTTTCTGTATATAATGTAGGCCGAATGAAAATATGGACGCCCAGAAGAAAACTACTTTTGGTCGTCTTGACCTATGAACAGTTTACTGCCTCGGATCTCGAGTCAATAAAAGACATAAATTGTACCCGAACATCACATTCAAGGAACCGCATCACCACCAAGAATATATTTATGAGAAATTGATAAGACTGATGCCAACCTGCAGACAAAATACTTAGTGCTCTTTATCCGGGTAAATGTTTTTTTCGTATATCACGGCATGTCAGCATTATTGCAAAGGTATTACCACTTTTTTGATAAAGTGGCGATTGCAAAACAAATACCTTAATCGGGGCAAACAGTTTAAAGTTTCACATATATTATGAAATTAGTTAATGTTCAGAAAAATGTGCAGATCGAAAACTGACGCAGAACACAACAGAAATGATATTGAATCGTCGCTGATTTAACATTTATGTGGACAGATATGAATTAAAAGCGCTGCAGTGTCTGTTTGCCAAAGACATTTATTCGATTATTCTCTAAAAACTGTTATTATATTTATTTCCGTGAAGCTGCTATAACTACAGTGCCAATATAAACATTGATTTTCTTTCACAATCGGGGCATTCAGGCGCGCACGTTATTTCGCGTTAGAAGATAGACAACAATATCACTCGTATTTCATGCAAATGCGCACCTAAAATAAGTACGGATCACGATGACAGCGGAATGCACGTGCATGTCTCATGTGATGTGTTTATCGGGACAAAGTTCAGACTGTCAATTACGTCTGTTGGACCGGCGCTAAACGCATTTGCCAAACAAGCCCGGATACAGCTCTTTGGAAAAGTAACTTCTTTGAGAGGCATTTAGAAGTTGGAGAACTAAGTAAGGTTAAGAATTTATGGATGAACAACTTCTTTATTTCAATTAGGAGGTTCTAACACCGTTATCAAACAAGTGATATACATAGTGTATAACATTGCCTCCTACTTGTATATATACTTGTCAACCACACTCTGTATATAGCTTGATAACGGTGTTAGAACCTACACCGAAACGTCGCTCTTGATTGTAATAAAGAAGTTGTTTATACATACATTCTTATCCTTACTTTGGAAAAGTAGGCTTATTGATTTGGAATTTTTGTGTGTAGACGTCATTTTGATAAAAACATATAAGCAAATGAGTTATTTATAGTCTTCCAATATGTTTTCACTTTGTATCACTGATGTAAAACCCTGAGATTTGCTGCATGTTTACACAAGAAGTTAAGACAATAATCTTCAGGTTCATGGCAATATCAAATGCAATTGGTATGAAAACATCTCAAGCAATCAGCCAAATCCAGACCTTCAGTACTGTTGGGACTGTTAATCTGTAAACGTCTGCGACCTGCACCGATTCCAGCTTTCCTCCAACAAGTCGGCACCCTGTGATGTAACCGGAGTATTGTCCAAAGCGCAGTAAAACAAACTCACTCAGGAAAAGTTGATAACAGATGAATGGCGATCTCTGAATTTTTTTAAGAGACTAACCATATTTAAGTTGTATGTCGCTTCTCCACGCAATTTGGATCGATGACATGCATCAACCAAGTCTGCGAGTCTGACCACCAGATCCCGGTTGTCACCGCTTACGACAAGCATAGTCGCCTTTTACAGCAAGCATGGGTTGCCGAAGACCTATTCAGTAGATGTGTAACAGTTCATTCGATCGAGCATCTTATATTTTGAGATAAGGAGACATGTAAGTGGTCTGCTAGCAGATGAGGCAGCTGGTTCAGTCAAACAGCCACAGTCAAGGTGTTCAAACAGTTAATGCCCATTTTCGGTTCAGCACGTAGTTCAATATCATCAGTATACTCCAATATACATACGCGTTTATAATCGATCAGCATACCTAGGTCGAGATTTACTTTTGTAATCTGATCATTACTTTTGAATCAACTACTATACAAAACTACAAAGATGTTAAACAATCATGAGGATAATTCAGATACATCTTCCGCAGCTCAAGTCAAACCAGGGAATATGGAAACCGTATATAACTCTTCCTTTTCTTGTTTATAGACAACAGTGCATTAAACATTCAGCACGTGATATTGGAGTCAGAAATCTTTGACGTCAGTTGGTGCGTCGAATGACGTCATGATCATTTCCTAACCCATATCGTGTACCATCTAGACCAATGACCTCAGTCAGCAATGGTATTCAGAGACTAATCTTGAAACCGTCACTGTGAGGAAACGTCTTAATAAAAAATCAAGGACTTAACAAAATAGTGTAATTACGAACATTTCACATCCATAAGCATGTTTATACTTGAGAATCTTTATTGCAGGAATAGTCATCAACGACCCTGACATGAAGAGAGCCTACGACTTTGCCACAGCGAGGATAAACTCCATTAAAAATAATGGCAACCCATATCGATGGCATCCTGTTTTAAGTGAAAATAGAACGGATATGAATGATAACTACAAGTTGAGCGAAACATGTAAGTATATGGGTACCCGGTAGGTTGTGAATTCAAAACTTGCGGCTTGGGTGGTATACTCCCAAGCTGAGAAACCAGTTTGCATGTATATTAATCCATTGACCAGGGTAATAATGCGATGTTTTGATCACGCGTCGTGTGTATAGACGCGTACACATTATTATACTTGACGGTTTGAATGGCGCTTTTTTTCCCTATTGGCTATTCCTCATTTGGAATGCGTATATAATGGTTCAACTATTTAAAAGTTATTGTACATTGTGAGTGAATGGGTGAGTTTGGATAAACGCCGCTTTGGGCAGTGTTCCACCGTTTCCGTTATATCACGGCCTGCACAGAGTGAGTGAGTGCGTGCGTGCGTGCGTGCGTGCGTGCGTGCGTGCGTGCGTGCGTGCGTGAACGAGTGAGTTAAACACTGCTGTGAGAAGTGTTCCAGTTATATCACGGCTCGTCAGCATGATGTGGGAGGAAAGCCCGAATTGATGCTGGTCGTAGACGTTGACCAGACTGTGGTGATGACAAACCGCGAACCATAATCAGTACACCTCTGGTATTTGAAATCACAATAATAGCTTTCTGACACTCATAAATCACCCAACTCTGGACAGCGAATGTCGGAGCCTTAGATCATATAAATATAAATATAAAACGTACCAGAGAATAACCAGTCTTGAATATAAATCATGTTCAAGGAAAATATGCTACTCAAATGAAGTTAAAGAACATCCGAGTCTTTCATATTGCTACAGTTTATCTGACATGGCAGGAATAAAAGTATTTTTCGACGGCAACGCTCTGTGAATTCTCACTTGGTTAACTTTCAATTAATCTTTCCGTGCAGTGATCTGTATTTTCACAATGACAAATATGACACACATGTTAAGTAATTCCTACTGCGTACATAGTGTGATTTAGTTACCACAGTATTTGTTCAAACCTCTATTATTAATTCTTCCTTCTATAATGATAATACATGTATAGCTTTATTTATTCTAAAATAGAGGGGCGGTCGGGTACCGTAGTGGTTAAAGCGTTCGCTCGTCACGCCTAAGACCCGGGTTCAATTCCCGACATGGCAAAAGCGGCGTATAACCATACTCACTCACTTATTCTAAAATAACCATCCATGAGTCAGAGAAATATAATGCTTTGTTTAAAACAGGGGCGATGGAGATTGTGACGTCACTACCGAAACATAGTTTGGGGTCCAGGGTATTTATCAAAATAGAATTGAGAATATAACTGGATAATCGAGGGTGTTTTTTAATAATTGATAAATGATTATTTGGAATGATGTAAGTGTGAATTTAAATTAATATTTGTTTGTTTTTGAAATGATAATGTTATACATTGGTATTGTTTCAGTGTGTAATCTGATGAACAAAGGCGTTGCGGCAATTATCGGTGCCAACAGCGCAGAGTCGTTCAACACCATACAGTCATTCAGCCACGCCCTCAAAGTGCCTTACATCGTCCCAACCGCCACGAGATCTGAGCCATATGACTATTATGGTTATGAAGTTTCCATGGCACCTCCTTTGATTGATGCAGTGATCAAAGTTATTGACATTCTTTACTGGCAGAAAATATATTATGTGTACGATTCCGACGATGGTGAGTATTTCAAGTACATCACAGTTGGTTGGTTGGTTTGTTGTTTAACGCCGCACTCAGCAATGTTCCAGGTATATAACAGCGGTCTGTAAATAACCGAGTCTGAACCAGACAATCCAGTGATTGACATCATGATCATCGATCCATGCAATTGGGATACGATGACATGCATCAACCAAGTCATCGAGCCTGACCACCCGATCCCATTAGTCGCCTCCTACGACAAGCATAGTCACCTGTTACGGCAAGCATGAGTTGCTGAAGACCAATTCTACCCCGGATCTTCACGGGTCATCACAGCCTGTTAGTGAAATGTGAGAGGAAAGACCTGAGCAGGACGTTGACGTTTACAAATTTAGTTCACACAAGAGGATATGGTGCTGACCGACCAAGGATCTTAAGAAGGGCGAGTCATGGATTCGAACCCGCGATCAGAGTCTTTGCACGAATCCAGGCCACTGGACCCAAAGTGTCATCCGTGCACCACATTTAAAAAAAAATAGGGATGCACATTTGAATGAATGCAGAGGAACTCTTATTAAGATTTAGAGTACGATACACAAGTCATGTTATCGTTCAATAACCCGGTGGTATTTACTGACAACAACTTGAATATATAATCAGGCTATAGTCAGTGAGTTGGTTGGGTTTTACGCCGCTTTTTACAGTATTCCAGTTATATCACGGCGTGTCAGCCTAATGTGTGAGGAAAGCCGGAAGTGATGCAGGTCCCAGACCTTTACCACTTCGGTGAAACCCACGAGCACGGGTATGGTGCTGACAAACCTAGAAACATAATTCGAACCCACAATCATAGGTTTCTGGCGTGCCCAAGGGACGCAACTCTGCACAGCGAATCGCGGCGCCTTAGACGACTGGAATAAGGCTATAACTAAAACAGGAATAGCAATCGGTGTCAAACACGATTCTTCTAACACGTTCGTACAATGTATATGAAAAACGAACTAAATGCTGAGACAAATATACTCAATATTCACATTACAGTCGCAATATATCTTGATAATTTTCCCAATCGTACATACACAGTCTTGGAAGCAAGAGTAGATCACGAGTAAGATTAATAACGACGTATGCCTTATCAACAAACATTTCTTGACAGATTTCTGTTTGCGTTTCCCATCAGGATTTCACAATCCATTTCGTTAGTCAGAATTGGAACGACGTAAGAGACGAGTAAACATGGATGAATCTGTAGAAACCTCTCCAGACATACCTGCCTATATAAACAGGCAGAATTAGCCCAATTTAAGCGTCAAGAAGACTTCGATCACGTTGACCCCAAGGACATTGATTAAACATTCTGTTTGATAAGTTGCGAGGAACCCTCTTAATCATGACTCTTTTCTGTGATTGACGAGGTTGAGTCGACGCATCACATGCAGGGAAGAGTCGTACATGTCACGCCCGTCATGTGTATAAATATATAGAATCATATCAAAGATGGCACTGGCAAGAATTGTACTCCTGGAAGTCATGTTCAGTAAGCATTCGATAATTATGACTACATGCATGCATAGGTATCTCAATATAATTTGTATGCAAAGGTTTTTGAAGTATTACTAATGTGAAAATACTTTCCTTTTAAATAATGAGGTAATGCTTTAGAAAGGTTTACTCGTCCACGTAACAAAAAGGACATTGGCAGATCAAAATAGGAATGAATTCCTGATGTGTAACGGACTGCTGACGAAAGGCTAGAAGGCAATTATAAATACCTTGAAAGAAAACGCGTATGTTTAATCCTATCATGTGTCATTCCTAATGGGATATGGTGGTCAGACTCGCTGATTTGGTTGATGCATATAATCGTGTCGCAATTGCGTATATCGATGCTCATGATGTCAGTCACTGGATTATCTAGTTCAGACTCGATTTCTTTACAGACCGCCGTCACAAAGCTGGAATATTGCTGAGTGCCGCGTTAAACCATATGCAAACAAACACAAACAAAAAACTCTTGGCCTTTGTACAATTCATTCACGCGTTAACGCTCTCATTCTGTGTGTAATCCCTTCATGTAAGTGTAAAGATAGTGCATCGACATTCACATTAAGGGTTGAAGTTGTATTTGTTGACGTTCATCAGCTGATGAAGACAGTCCCTTACGTGAGCAAATTCCATAATGCACGAAGCGCTTCATGCTAAATTTGCTCACGTGAGGAAATGTCTTCATCAAGTGATTAAGGTCAACAAATACAACTTCACTCCTCATTTTGACAGATACATAACAAAAAAATCCATATAAACATAAGCTTTGCTTATTTATTTCCTTCACTATATTAACGCATATATTAATGCGGGGGGATATAGCGATCAGCCAGTCTGTCTGTCCGTCCGGCCGTCTGTCCGTCCGTCCGTAATCATTTGCTTTTCCTTTTGATATTTTGGGATTTTTCTAATTTTTATTTTTTTAAATTTTTATGGAATGAAGTTGGACATAGACTCAATTGGGGATGGGGTTCGTTTTCGGGGCAGATATCGAAAACCATTCAGTGTATTTGATCGAAAATTGGCAAAGCTATCAGGCACATACTGAAGTGGTACCTTTTGATATTTTGGGATTTTTCTCATTTTTATTTTTTAAAATTTTTAGGGAATGAAGTTGGACATAGACTCAGTTGGGGATGGGGTTCATTTCCGGGGCAGAATTCGAAAACCATTCAGTGTATTTAATCGAAACTTTCCCTCCATGTGTCGTACAGGCCTATGTTTTATCCCACCATGTGTCGTTCACATGGGCCTATGTACAGGTCAACCATATGTCGTTTTTTCTAGGTTTGTGGCGTCTACAAAAGTTGTATAACCACATCCAAGGACAGGCGTTCTCCCGGGTTTTAGACGCATTCCGGATCCGGGATGTTGACAGTTCCTACGACCTGCTCCGTCACCTTGACTACAAGGACGAAGAGGACTCGCTACGTAGGATCGTTCTTGACCTTTCCTCAACTAGTGCCTACCAGAAGATACTTACCCAGGTCATGCTAGTCCATGATTCACATACCTAGATATTTTTAGTTCGAATATTTGTAATAATATTGGGTAAAGAACCATATTATTTCCCAATGGCGGGAATGTGTCGATGGTGATGTGATTTGGATGAAGACGGAGAAATGGCGATGGTGATGTGAACTGGGTGATCTGGTTGATATGGCGAGGTGATTTGGATGATGTGGGTGATATGTGTGCGATGTAGTGAGTGTGATAGTCTAATTTGTTTTGGGTGATATGGTGTGTCGGATGTGGTGAGGGTGATGTGGTGAGGGTAATAATTGTTGGATAATGTGGTGTTGGTGATGTGGTATTTGCGATGAGGTGAGGTTGATGTGGTGTAGGTGACATAGTGATGGTTTTATCAATGTGGTGTGGGTGATGCAGTGTCGCTGTTTGGGATGTGGGTAACCTTGTGAGGGTGTGGACCCGGGTCTGTGGGTGAGGAAATGTTGACTTGGCTGTAGTGTGGGTACATGTATGTCCAAGAGAGAAAGTGAGAGTGGATAGGGGCGGGATTAGTTTTTGGTTATATTCAAATGATTCCAAATAACTTTAAGAGACATACATTCTTTTTGTTTATAATGAAAACATAATGTATTGGGACTGTCTGCTGTCACCTGACAATGTGTTTTGATTGTTTATTCCAGATCATAGATGTTGGAATGAACAGAGAAAACTATCACTATATACTAGCCAGTCTGGTAAGTGTCATCTTCATCAGTTCCCATCTAACTAAAGTTATGAGACTTTAATTATTAGATATTCAACAATTCTTAGACTTACTGCAAGGCAGATATCCCCAATACAATATCATCAAGTATTGTATATGTCAGTTATCTGTAAAGCTTGAAATTAACGCGAGCGTGAATTAAAGGCGAAAAATGCGAGTGGTGTTTGTTCGCATAAATGAAACTTCGCATTTATGTCTCCAAAATAATTATCAACAATGAGATGGCCTCAATGTACACTTTGGATAGCGGAAATACCAACTTGAATATAAACAGAAACAAGGTTTATTGAGCAGCAGTTTGTAACAAGTACATATCATTGTCATTCAAAGAATAGAAATTACACCATAGGCATCCGGTGAGTTATCACTGCTGGGGTCAAGGGTTCTACCCACTCGTGTCAAACTGGGCATCATTGACCACTCCAGTTCATGTTTGGAGTCGCATTCATATTGAGTCGCATTTTTGTCTAGGGGTCAGCAGTCGTATTATTTTGGAGACGCATTAATTTTCAGATTTACAGTAATAGTTGATGATGTTGTCCGAGCTCATGTGTTTCAAGGAATTATACATCGTAGATCATACAGTTAAACGCTGCGATGAACCTCAGTCTTAAATAAACATGACCCGAATATACAGCGAAGCTTCGTAAAAGTAGTGTATCGTATAATAGCCCACTTATAACGGGCCGTTATCCATGCATAAGCTTGTTCTAAGCGCACATGCAGGCATAGATGAGCTATCCACATCGTGTTCAGCTACTATCTGAAGGATTGCAGTGAGAAGTACCGCTTTATGTCGTGCCACAGATTGTTCCAATCTACAGTTGAAAGAACGCTTACCATATCGGACAGTTGTCTTCGGTATAATCAGGTTTTCCTCTTGTGATCTGAGTGATCTGGCAGCATTGTAAGCACCAATCATGTTTGACAGATATTGCGGTGCGATCCTGGCATTGCATTGGTACGTCTGGCACAGATTCTTAAATAGTGCAAGTTCTTGAGGACTGGTGTAATATGGTCAGATCTTGGCGTGAGAGACACGATCCTGGCTAGTATGTTCTGAAAACATTGGAGCTTTGAAATCTGGGATTAGGGCATTCCGGCGAGGAGGCTGTTACAGTAGTCCAATCTGGAAAGGATATGTGACGCTTTCTTGATCCTGTCGACCGATATTTCCTGATGGTACTGATGTTTCTGATGTTGAAGAAACAAACTTTGCTAAGTCTCAACTTGGCTTTCGGGCGTTAACTCGCTGTCAAGGATGACTCCAAGAATTTTTACAGGGCTTGATACGTCAATTAAAGAAGAATTAAATGTTTGTTATATATAAACATTGGGCGCGGCAATTAGCTGTCAAGAATTACGTCCCTTGTTAGGATGCTATCATCGTAGTTTCGATGTGATTAATTTATCAGCACCAAAGTGACTAGCGTTTCAGAACTGCATACGTTTTGACTCTCTTAGAAGCTGATACGCTGTGATGTCACTAAAATGGTGTTCGTAGCGGCGTTACACCAAACTCTCTCACATATATGATCTTTTACCGATACACCGATTGTTTCTAATTACCTACATGTATTACTGGATTTATTACCCATAAGGGTAGAATGGTCGTGTGTAATAACTTTCGGATATTTTCATATTTGTGTTTAAGCGATTCTCAATGCTGATTGGTCATTCATTGTTAGTACAAATAGAGTATGACGTCATCAATTGATCATAACGTGACAAACTGATTACATCTGAACAATAGGCTACTTTTAATGAAGTTTCACATTTAAAATGTCATGAGTAATATATAAAATATCTTACGCGAAACTCATGAATGAATGCTGTAAGTCCCTCGCTAAAGGATCGGGAAGAAACACTCCAAATATCTTCTCATTTAACTCGATTTATTACGCTCCTTGTCCACACTATGTAAGTTCAGGTTGTGATGTAAATGTGCCGGTCCCCTTGCTGAAGAAACATACGCATTTGATGAATTCACTTAATATTGATCACACGTATTAGATATAACAATTCTAAACCATTGTACACATTGAAATAAATGTATTAACATTAATTCTAAAATGTGTTTATTTGTATTTTTCAGACCGCCTATGACTTGAATAATCGACGTTTCTTTGATGTATTTAAATACGGAGGTGTAAACATAACAGCCTTTAAAATCATACAAGATAAAAGTGACGCATACAAAAAAGCTGAGCAATTGTGGAAATCCAAACAATCGAACTACCCAGACCTCTTCCCTTTATCGGTAAGTTCAGGAAAAGTTAACTTTTGTTTCTGTTGCGCCAGTGCTTGTTCACGTCTTCCACCATGATTCACCATTGCGCCCAATAGCAGGATCCGCTGATTGTGAAGGTCGTTTTTAGATGTTTGTTGGTACCTTTACCTCCTAATGAATATGCAAAGGATTTTGTCACTATATTTCGTGATCATGAAGACAGTTAAATAAAACAACAACAACAACAAAATATTTATTTGTTATTTGTAATTTATTTGAATTGTTATGATAATATCGATACATCCAACTTCCTCATAGCCGAAATATACAGTACAGAAAGTAGCCACGAAAATACGTGTATACATATGCTGGTAAAGAATGGCGTACCCACACATGTGATATGCTCTATTATTCAGACAGAATCAGCCTTGCTGCTCGACACTGTAGAAGCTGTACATAAATCGTTACAAATCGGTGCCCTCCGGACCAAGCAAGGTGGCATGGACAGAGTGTATTGCAGGAACCCTGGCAGGTCCAAGTCGGAGAATGGGCCACGTGTTCTTCAACAGCTAATACAGGTACATGTGTCAGCATGCACTCAAGTGTAATAAGCTGGTAATCAAAACGCCATGAGAACGCTTCAGATGTTTTGAGCAAGGTATTTAACGAAAACTGTTGTGAAACTCTCCCTCGATAGCACGAGTAACTGCCAAATCACTCCTCAATGTTGCTATTGTCATCACGATTATCGTATGTTTGACTTATACTAATTTCGTTCATGGATATACTCTAATTCTTTCTCTTTTGTCTTTTACAGTATTCATTTACTGGATTAACTGGAGGTGTTGGATTCGATAACCAGGGAATGAGAAATGACTTTAAAATTGATGTTTACGAATTGACGCACAAGAAAGACTTTGAACATGTAAATATACGTCCTGACGCAGTATTAAAACAAATACAACCATAAATCGATACATTTCAGATTTATTAATACATGCAATAGATTACCAAAAAAACTTCATGTTTGTAAACGTTGTGATTGAAGAAGGGTGCAGAATACCCAATGTAGCAAAGGTACAAACTAAATACAGATTCGACAGGATCTCACATATGAACTTGAGAGGATAATGGGTAATCATTGTACTCAGTTGGTGTTCTTATAAGTACACCGTGAGCAGTGATCCTATGGTATCACAGGGTAGAAAGTTAGGTATTCCAAAATGTGAAAGACTTTGTCCATTTTGTATCATTCCAAGTGTACAAACAGAATACTATGTTTGTTTAGTTTGTCCGTTTTATGACGATCTTAGTTATTATGCCAAGTTATTATTATGCATCTCCATGAGAGCATAAATGTAAAGTTTTATTTACCACCAGTAATGCTTTCACAATCAATAATCTTTCCAAGTATACATTCTTTGCTCTTAAAATGAGGAGCAAGCAGTTGTCCATTATATAAACTACTAATTCTACCACCATATGTATATGGTCTCAGATACCCTTGTACTGATTAGTATTGATATTACTACATGCACTTGTGGCGCAACATGTTTGAATGCTTGAATATATATATTGTAAAATGAGCATGTGGCCTGATTTACTGAAATAAACCACTACTGTAAATTTCACCGTCATATACCAAATTCATACAATATTGTTGAATTTTAAGTAGCACACTCCCATAGAAGTTATGGAATGATTCTATCAGGTGCTACTTAGATACATGTACATGAATGCAGGGGCCCAGTCGTTAGCATCCCAGAAACTTTTGATCTTCGGTTCGAATCCAGATTTGCCTGTTCATGCCACCCAAGGCGGGTAGTTCGCTATTCAGTGTCCCGTCTCTTACCAGGGGCCTATGCTGCCTTGTTCTATTTCTATTTAGAGTTGTAAAGGTTAAGGGAAAAACATTGGCCTTTTTTGGCTGCGCTGAAACGGCATCGCTCTTCCCGTCCATGGTTAGCATTGATAGGTGGTTTGTTGTATCATCTGTGTCATCATAATTTATCTTAACATGCAACTGTCAGTATTGGCTCAGCTAACTGTGCTTTTGAGTACATTACAAGATCGACTCAGTTCACACTAAACTCACATATATTTACGTGATGCGTGTTTTAACAGAGACAGTCATGGAACAGAAGGGAGCTGGATACAAAGGACAACATTAATAGAACCTTAAATACATCATCTAAAAACAAGACTCAAGTGGTTACCACTATCATGGTAAGAAGAATGTATCCTCATACAAATATAATTGTATTCATTTTCTTCTAGAGAAAAATTAATACCCCGATATAATGACCGCTCCAGGAGTTGGAATTTTTCTTTGATATGATGTACGGTTATATTCCACAAGTTACCGTAGTTACCGAAACAAATTTTGGTTTTAACTTAAAAAGTCTTGTTTAATGTAAACGAGCGAGTAACTGTGCAGTGTTACCAGGTTACTCTCTGGCGTTGACGTTATATATTCATAAAAGCATATTAACATTGTCAATATTGAGTTTTTGCTTGGCAAAACTGTCGCCACGTCAATATGTGTAAGTGCATGATGGCCAAAGAATTTATTCTTCCTACAGCAGGTTTTATATAACAGTATAGTTGTTGGTCTATCGGTAATAAACCACATATGCTGGAGCATGGAGTATTTAGATGGTTATACATTTTGGAAAACCCAACTCTTATCTGCTGATTGGCCGATCTGAGCGTATAATCGTACTCCGACTACAAGAATCGATGCTGGCACTGATGTCTTATCCATAGCTTCGCGCTAAAGCTTAACAGATCGCCTTAGGTTTGGAATCGGATCCTGCTCATCAGACTCAGAGCAGAACCACCATTGATTAATTTAATTTTCTTTCAGGTATCGCCATTTGTAATGAAGAAAAAACTTACAAATGGTGAGCCTCCAGTCGCCGGTAACGAGTATGAAGGTTACTGTATTGACCTCGTTGGCCTGGTAGCCAAACAAGCCAATTTTGAATTTCGTATTGAAATCGCCAGCGATTATGGAAGAAAGAATGAGTCTACTGGTCAGTGGTCAGGCATGGTTGGAGAACTGATCAATGGTGTAAGTTACTCACAGAATAGTGATTGTGTGAGTGATATTGGGTTAACGCTGCCTTGAACAGTATTTCGCCTTTATTAAGGTTGTTGTCTTGGTTGGAGAGAAAAGCCCACGTGATGTAGTGATGCAGTGCCGAGGAGTCTACCACTTTTGCCGATGAAAAATAAAACTTCATTGGGTCGAATCTGGGATTCAAACCGACGATCATACCTGAAGGGACCATTGCACTGCTGTTTGTTTGCTGTTTAACGCCGCACCCAGCAGTATTCCAGCTATATGACGGTTGTCTGTAAATAATCAAGTCTGGACCAGACAATCCATTGACTGACATTATGTACATGGATCCACGCAATTTGGATCGATGACATGCATCAACTAAGTCAGCAAGCCTGACCACCCGATCCCGTTAGTCGCCTCTTACGACAAGCATAGTCACTTTTTACGATAAGCATGGGTTGCTGAAGGCCTATTCGTCCCCGGATCTTCACGGGTCCCCTGCACTGCTGAAGTTAACGTCAAGTGGATATATTATTTTGGTTCGGACAAACACATCTTATGGTCTTGTTCTTTCCGGTGTTGACAATATAAATGAGCGTAAATGTAAACAAAACTTTTATTCTGTCAGTTGGTTGCTGCAACCTGGTGATATAACTGCGGTACTGTTCAACACGACGTTAAATCCAACTCACTACAACAATCACAACCAGTACATGTTATAGGTGTGTGTGACTTTTCTCGACGTCGTATTACCTGAAGTATTTGTTTTCGTTGAAACAACTCTATGTTTTCATCTCAAATCTTTTATTTAGTAAAAAACTTAATTGATTCATAATGTGTTGTGGTCACATGAGATGCAGCGCACGTTTCATTTCAATGGAACACTGGCTGTAATACGACAATATTGAATCGATGTTAAACAAATAGGTTGAAGATGAAATCCTCTTAGGTGATATGATTGGGACGTTTGTGTCGTTTACTTAACCCTATTTTAGCAGGAAAAGGATTATGTATTACGAATCAAAAGAATAACATATTTAAAATATCACCTGGAATAAACTTCGCCAGACCCCGCCCGGAGAACCTGCCCGCAAAAATGAAAACAATCAGAGAATATAATTACGATTAATGTCAAGTCGTATTAAATGATGTATCCAGTTATCCGAGTTTGTGTTAACGATGTGTCACTTAATTGTCATTGAATAAAACCATTTTATTGTTCAATTATGTAACTGCAGACACGACAGATTGCTGTAGCGCCATTGACCATCACCGAAGACAGGGAGCGCGTTGTGGACTTCTCCAAGCCTTTCATGAACACAGGAATCAGTATCATGATCAAGAAACCCGACAAAGTAAAACCGGGCGTTTTCTCCTTCATGGAACCGTTGGACCGATATGTTTGGCTCTGTATAGCTGTTGGCTTCCTGAGTGTCAGCTTTGTACTCTTCTTTGTGGGCCGCTTCAGTCCTTTCGAATGGACTGTGGATGGCAATGGGAAGAAAGAAGCCAACAACACCTTCACTATTTCCAACACAATGTGGTTCTCTCTGGGAGCTTTGATGCAGCAAGGGTCTGATATATCTCCAAGGTTGGTGGCCCCGGGCTTATTGTTGAAAATGGTCATTTTTCTTCTGAATCCTGGTTAAACATTGAGAGGAACAGAAATACATTGATGAATATCAAATTCTTGATTTCCTGTAAATAATCTGACATTACGTATACTAGATATATAAATAGTGTTCCGATCTCAGTATTACGCTCTTATATATTACGTAAGATTTTATGTGATAGTATTGTTAAACTGTCAATTCCAAAATAATATTTTCATATTTCAAGACTGTTAACTGCTCATTGAATGTTTCGACAACTCTGTAATTGTACATACAACAACACATGTAAAGTTATGAAAATGCAAGCGACAAACCCCGGAGTCCATTGTACGATTTCGACTGTATCACTAGCATATGTTTATGAATCACTATCAAAAAGTGATGATACCAGGTGTTCGCGAAAAGGTGAGCGTATCCTGCCCAACCGGCCGCACCCGTAGCATGTGTTTATGAATCACTATCAAAAAGCGATGATACCAGGTGTTCGCGAAAAGGTGAGCGTATCCTGCCCTACCGGTCGCACCCATAGCAGGTGTTTATGAATCACTATCAAAAAGTGATGATACCAGGTGTTCGCGAAAAGGTGAGCGTATCCTGCCCTACCGGTCGCACCCGTAGCAGGTGTTTATGAATCACTATCAAAAAGTGATGATACCAGGTGTTCGCGAAAAGGTGAGCGTATCCTGCCCTACCGGCCGCACCCGTAGCAGGTGTTTATGAATCACTATAAAAAAGTGATGATACCAGGTGTTCGCGAAAAGGTGAGCGTATCCTGCCCTACCGGCCGCACCCGTCACAAACACATGCAAAGTCAAGTCAACCATTCACCTTAAGAAAATACGGGAACTGCATCGGACATTATTTTTGTCACTGATGCCTCAAATTTGGAAATACCCTGAACCTAGCTACCCAAAACGTTTTGATACTTATCAGCTTTACTAAGACCTTGCATTTTGTCACCGTGATAAATAGCAATAGACATTTGATTCTCAGTGATATTGCTTCTCTCAAACCTTCCTCCAGTTATTATATTCTCACACTATGATGAAGTAAATACGTACACAATCACAAGCACAACAATACAGAAAACCGACTTTTACCAACACTAATCTCGTTTCATCCATCTCATTTACCTCGATACCCATATTTTATTACTCTTACATCACAGCATAATATTTAGTAGTATAATAACATATAGCCTGAGCGGTTGATACATGCCAGATAAACGTGTACAGGTATAATACAACGACAACGAAGAAAAACGACCATTGACTATTGTAACTGTATCTATTAAGTGCCCGATCATGTTGAGGCCGCTTGATGTTGGGCTTACGCGCCCTTGCTATATATTACATTCATCCAAGAATCAATCTTGGAGATATATCAGTGCTTGGATGCATGACCTGTCCCATTTTGTTGTCATTCGCATTTAACTTCTGTTGATTTTATTTTCAATAACCCTCAGACCATTTTACACCACTCGTTTCAGTGCATGCCACCCGCATAAAGTCGTTGTTATGAAAATGCTTGAATTATGCATAGAGCATGCAACAAGAATATTTTCATGGGGATTCCTGGTTTGAGTTGGTCCATCGCAACCTATCTTTGTACGAGGCGACGGGGCGGTCGGGTAGCCTAGTGGTAAAAGCGTTCGCTCGTCAAGCCGAAGATCCTGCTTCGATACCCGACGTGGGTACAATTTGTGGACCCATTTCTTTTGTCCCCCGCCGTGATATTGCTGGAATATTGCTTAAAGCGGCGTGAAACCTCACTCACTCACTTGTACGGGGCGACTTAATGGATCGGTGGTGGTGGTGGTCGTGGGAAAGGGGGGGGGGGGGGGGGGGGGGGGGGGGGGGGCAGGCTCTTTACTTGGTTGATAGCGTGTCAAAGTATCCGACGATGTGGATCGTTGCGTGTAATATCAACCGCCGGTTTGTTCGGTCCAAACGCCATGATATTTACAGGCCACCATCACAGAACAGAATAATTCTGAGTGTGCGTTGAACAACAAAAGACAATGCTAATGAAGCATTCATTAAACTATCAAAATGGTTTTATTTAGCGGATTGTGTGGTTTCCCTGTGGTCAAAGCGTTCGCTTGTCACGTTGACTACCTTGGTTCGATTCCCCCACGGGACCTAGAAGTTAGATGGTTTGAATATTGTTCAAGACGATAGTTACTAAAGAGAAGTTGCTTTGTAGATTGTAGAATTTCCCCTTTAACTTGCTTCACCCAAATTGCATGGCGATATCTGCCCATCATCCACATCACTCTTGTCAATGGCTGATGTATTGCTAACGATGCAATGTATTCTAGGTCTTTGTCTGGACGGGTGATCGGCAGTGCCTGGTGGTTCTTCACTCTTATCATTATATCTTCCTACACAGCCAATTTAGCAGCCTTCTTGACTATTGAGAAGATGTTAACACCTATTGATTCTGCAGATGATTTAGTAAATCAGAAAGAGATCAAATATGGAACATTAAGAACTGGAACCTCGTGGGATTTCTTTAAGGTAAGAATACTTGCATGATATAGTAACTGCACTGTACAGATTGTGTATTCCTGATCTTATTATCAGAAGCCTTTGGCACAACGTTTGCTTTTCAGCTTTGGCTGCTTATACATAGTGTGAGTTTATACAGGGAAGGCTCGATAATCCGAACGACACCATTTATAGTTAAAACATGAACATTAACTAATTTCCAGATTAATGAATGATCGGCATGGGACATGATGTGGCGTCGCGGTTTGACGAACATGGAAGAGTAATATCGACCGTTTTGTTTGACTGCAGTATGTTCCTAAATTATAGTGGCCGAGAGGAGACGTCGATTTCTCGCCTTCAATTACGGCCGCGAGGAAGCGATAACACGAGACGAGAAAGCGATAACACGAGACGAGAAAGCGGTAACACGAGACTAGAAAGCGATGGTGATGTTCTCTTCACTTTGTGGGTCTGAGGTGGATTTTTTCATAAACTTTCTCGCTTTCTCGCTTTATCAATATCTCGTATCCTCTTGTTATCGCTTCTCGTCTCGCATTCATGTCTCGTGTTATCGCTTCTCGTCTCGCGTTCACGTCTCGTGTTATCGCTTTCTCGCGGCCGTAAATGAAGGCGAGAAAGTGATGTCCCTCTCGGCCACCATACAAAATGCCGTACACTGAGCAACAGGTGTACTTGTAGTCAGGAAACCTTTCAAGGATTGTCTATTCCTTTGCCCAGAGACTGGATAAAGTACAGTCGTCGCCTTTGATCTATTAATTAAGCATCTTAGAAAGTCGTATAGTGGTCCAGCTTCATTCTGATTAACAAATAGAAAGATTATAACATGCCAATTGAACCCGATGATCTGCATAAACCGTGGACGATAACTTCACCCGCAAGACAGGAAGGTTTACAGGAGTGGAAATATAGTTTATTTTGTATTTTGTGTTTTAATGTACCCAATTATCTGCTGACCGTGTAACATTGTCACTCATTGTGTGGAAAACATCAAAATATCAAATAATACAGCATGTTATTGAATATCATACAGATTGAAAAAGGGGTGGTTAAATCTACTTGGGGATAGGTTAAATTACCGTTACCTCAGTATCTAAAGGGGAACATTCGAGCAAGCAGAAAATAGTTAATACGGACTATTTAACTTCGAACGGTAACGTCCGGATTGAAGGAGTTTCACTGTATCGCCTAGGAGATAAACACTATATGTTTTGATTTTTGCGGTGTAATTGGATTTTTCCATTCCAGTAAAAGTTTTTTGGACCGACGACGAAAGCATCGAATACTCATTAATACCCACAAACCTCAAAGCACTTCATGTTGATTGAAATCGTAAATACATTTAGTAGTTTTCAGCTGTATCTTTCTACGCATGCTCAAACAGGCGTGTGACTGCAAGATGTTAGTCTTGAATAATATGATGTTATGATTCACTAGACTCGACAACTGAATCAGCCTTGGCAGATTACAAGGAAAACACTTTCAAATAATATTAATCAAACGCAAATTGTAATTGCTGATTTATTCTTGTCGCCATGTCGACTGCAACATTTTGGGACATCATATATATATACGTTTAGTTAATTTTGTACGCATCAGAAGTTGGGGGGACAAATAGATTTGAGGGTATAGAGAAAATCCACCTATTGGCTTTTGAAACTTCTTACAAACCTCAAACCTTCTTACCTCAAATACATAATGCTATAGTTTATGGTTTATGTGGCCGATATCCAATGAATATCAATTTACTTGTTTGTAGTGTTGGATACAGGTGTAAAATATTATCAACGACCACCTCCCCGCAAAAACGGACATCTTATTTAGATAATGGAGGGTATAAAAGTTTGGCTTTAAATATGATAAATCTAGTAATTTTTCAGGGTTTTGGTTTTGTTTGGCTGTCACAAACAGTTTAAAATATAACCTTTACAGAGAACATAAAAGTTTGTTAGTACCAGAAACGTACCTTTGTACAAATAGAGAATTAAAGCTTCGAAATATTTTAGTTCGGAGGGGGATTATTACGGTTATGAAATTATGAAGGTAGGTGGCAGAAATCGATATGTGCATGATAAACTGCCCTTTATGTGAACAAGTTATAAAAGATGAATATCGTTGTTTTCTGTTTGTGCTACTTTGATGCTATTAGGCTTCAATATCTACTAAAGACATGTATCAATAATGTAAATATGCATACGTTTAAAAAGCCAATTGCCACAAACGACACAGAACAAAAAACATCACCATTTCAGTATTTAGTAAACACTGTTTAAAATCATGTCTTTTGTAATATAATTTGTTATTTGTATATTTGTTTTGATTGATTGTCGCCATTCAACGTTTTGGGACATCATATTTTTAAACGTATTATTACCCAGTGAATAGTAAGAAGAATGCTTTACTTTGATTCTATTTAAGACCGTCAAATCATATTCAATCATGTCACATGACACCCGTCCCTACCTATAACAGTTTAACAGAATGCCCGCGTTTTGTTGTTGCAGGATTCAGAAGTCCAGGTTTTCAGGCAAATGTATGAGACTATGGAGGCTAATAAAAACGAAGTTATGCTGTCTGACGTAGAGCTTGGGGTGGCAAAAGTAAGGAAGTCGAAAGGGAAGTACGCGTTTATGTTGGAGTCTTCGATGAACGATTACCACAGTCAGCAAGAACCCTGTGACACGATGAAGGTGGGCGACAACTTGGACAACAAAGGCTACGGGATAGCAACTCGTATAGGATATCCTTTAAGGTGAGGTCCGCTAAAAGAATAGATGTTTTAGTCAAGGCTTCGTACATTTGAGTACAAACATGTTAAACGTATGAAAAGTAATATTATCGTGGTTATCCGAATCTTAATAGTTGGAAGAAGTTACCGAATATTCTATAAAGGACCCTTTATATTAATGTGTTACTGATATATAGTTGTCCTGAATGAACCGTGTTGCTGATATATAGCTGTCCTGAATGAACCGTGTTGCTGATATATAGTTGTCCTGAATGAACTGTGTTGCTGATATATAGCTGTCCTGAATGAACCCTGTTGCTGATATATAGTTGTCCTGAATGAACCCTGTGGCTGATATATAGTTGTCCTGAATGGACCGTGTTGTTGATATATAGTTGTCCTGAATGAACCCTGTTGCTGATATATAGTTGTCCTGAATGAACCCTGTTGTTGATATAAAGTTGTCCTGAATGGACCGTGTTGCGGATATATAGTTTTCCTGAATGAACCGTGTTGCTGATACATAGTTGTCCTGAATGGACCGTGTTGTTGATATAAAGTTGTCCTGAATGGACCGTGTTGCTGATATATAGCTGTCCTGAATGAACCGTGTTGCTGATATATAGTTGTCCTGAATGAACCGTGTTGCTGATATATAGTTGTCCTGAATGAACCTTGTTGCTGAGATGTAGTTGTCCTGAACGAACCGTGTTCCTGATATATAATTATCCTGAATGAGCGGTGTTGGTGATAAAGTTCCTTGGTTTTTCAACACCATACATGAACCCGTGCTCGTGGGTTTCACCAAAGTGAATTCCTTCCACGCCAAACTAACACGAATTCTACTGACATATATTTATCCTGAATTAACCGTGTGGCTGATCAATAGTTATCCGGAGTGAACCGTAGTCTTGATATATAGTTTCTCTGAATGAAACATGTTGATGACATAAAGTTATCCTGAATGTACCGTGTTGCTGACAATTAGTTGTTCTCAATGAACCGTGTAGCTGAAATATAGTTGTCTTGATTAAAACCTTGTTTCTGTATATGATAATGCTGAATGAACCCTAGTTGTTCTCAATGAACCGTGTAGCTGAAATATAGTTGTCTTGATTAAAACCTTGTTTCTGTATATGATAATGCTGAATGAACCCTAGTTGTTCTCAATGAACCGTGTAGCTGAAATATAGTTGTCTTGATTAAAACCTTGTTTCTGTATATGATAATGCTGAATGAACCCTAGTTGTTCTCAATGAACCGTGTAGCTGAAATATAGTTGTCTTGATTAAAACCTTGTTTCTGTATATGATAATGCTGAATGAACCCTAGTTGTTCTCAATGAACCGTGTAGCTGAAATATAGTTGTCTTGATTAAAACCTTGTCTCTGTATATGATAATGGTGAATGAACCCTAGTTGTTCTTAATGAACCGTGTAGCTGAAATATAGTTGTCTTGATTGAACCTTGTTTCTGTATATGATAATGCTGAATGAACCCTAGTTGTTCTCAATGAACCGTGTAGCTGAAATATAGTTGTCTTGATTGAACCTTGTTTCTGTATATGATAACGCTGAATGAACCATAGTTGTTCTCAATGAACCGTGTAGCTGAAATATAGTTGTCTTGATTGAACCTTGTTTCTGTATATGATAATGCTGAATGAACCCTAGTTGTTCTCAATGAACCGTGTAGCTGAAATATAGTTGTCTTGATTGAACCTTGTTTCTGTATATGATAACGCTGAATGAACCATAGTTGTTCTCAATGAACCGTGTAGCTGAAATATAGTTGTCTTGAATGAACCTTGTTTCTGTATAAGATAATGCTGAATGAACCCTACTTGTTCTCAATGAACCGTGTTGCTGAAATATAGTTGTCTTGATTAAAACCTTGTTTCTGTATATGATAATGGTGAATGAACCCTAGTTGTTCTTAATGAACCGTGTAGCTGAAATATAGTTGTCTTGATTGAACCTTGTTTCTGTATATGATAATGCTGAATGAACCCTAGTTGTTCTCAATGAACCGTGTAGCTGAAATATAGTTGTCTTGATTGAACCTTGTTTCTGTATATGATAACGCTGAATGAACCATAGTTGTTCTCAATGAACCGTGTAGCTGAAATATAGTTGTCTTGATTGAACCTTGTTTCTGTATATGATAATGCTGAATGAACCCTAGTTGTTCTCAATGAACCGTGTAGCTGAAATATAGTTGTCTTGATTGAACCTTGTTTCTGTATATGATAACGCTGAATGAACCATAGTTGTTGTCAATGAACCGTGTAGCTGAAATATAGTTGTCTTGATTGAACCTTGTTTCTGTATAAGATAATGCTGAATGAACCCTACTTGTTCTCAATGAACCGTGTTGCTGAAATATAGTTGTCTTGATTAAAACCTTGTTTCTGTATATGATAATGGTCAATGAACCCTAGTTGTTCTTAATGAACCGTGTAGCTGAAATATAGTTGTCTTGATTGAACCTTGTTTCTGTATATGATAATGCTGAATGAACCCTAGTTGTTCTCAATGAACCGTGTAGCTGAAATATAGTTGTCTTGATTAAAACCTTGTTTCTGTATATGATAATGGTGAATGAACCCTAGTTGTTCTTAATGAACCGTGTAGCTGAAATATAGTTGTCTTGATTGAACCTTGTTTCTGTATATGATAATGCTGAATGAACCCTAGTTGTTCTCAATGAACCGTGTAGCTGAAATATAGTTGTCTTGATTGAACCCTTGTTTCTGTATATGATAACGCTGAATGAACCCTAGTTGTTCTCAATGAACCGGGTAGCTGAAATATAATTGTCTTGATTGAACCTTGTTTCTGTATATGATAACGCTGAATGAACCCTAGTTGTTCTCAATGAACCGTGTAGCTGAAATATAGTTGTCTTGATTGAATCTTGTTTCTGTATAAGATAATGGTGAATGAACCCTAGTTGTTCTCAATGAACCGTGTTGCTGAAATATAGTTGTCTTGATTGAACCTTGTTTCTGTATAAGATAATGGTGAATGAACCCTACTTGTTCTCAATGAACCGTGTTGCTGAAATATAGTTGTCTTGATTAAAACCTTGTTTCTGTATATGATAATGGTCAATGAACCCTAGTTGTTCTTAATGAACCGTGTAGCTGAAATATAGTTGTCTTGATTGAACCTTGTTTCTGTATATGATAATGCTGAATGAACCCTAGTTGTTCTCAATGAACCGTGTAGCTGAAATATAGTTGTCTTGATTAAAACCTTGTTTCTGTATATGATAATGGTGAATGAACCCTAGTTGTTCTTAATGAACCGTGTAGCTGAAATATAGTTGTCTTGATTGAACCTTGTTTCTGTATATGATAATGCTGAATGAACCCTAGTTGTTCTCAATGAACCGTGTAGCTGAAATATAGTTGTCTTGATTGAACCCTTGTTTCTGTATATGATAACGCTGAATGAACCCTAGTTGTTCTCAATGAACCGGGTAGCTGAAATATAATTGTCTTGATTGAACCTTGTTTCTGTATATGATAACGCTGAATGAACCCTAGTTGTTCTCAATGAACCGTGTAGCTGAAATATAGTTGTCTTGATTGAATCTTGTTTCTGTATATGATAACGCTGAATGAACCATAGTTGTTCTCAATGAACCGTGTAGCTGAAATATAGTTGTCTTGATTGAACCTTGTTTCTGTATATGATAATGCTGAATGAACCCTAGTTGTTCTCAATGAACCGTGTAGCTGAAATATAGTTGTCTTGATTGAACCTTGTTTCTGTATATGATAACGCTGAATGAACCCTAGTTGTTCTCAATGAACCGTGTAGCTGAAATATAGTTGTCTTGAATGAACCTTGTTTCTGTATAAGATAATGCTGAATGAACCCTACTTGTTCTCAATGAACCGTGTTGCTGAAATATAGTTGTCTTGATTAAAACCTTGTTTCTGTATATGATAATGGTGAATGAACCCTAGTTGTTCTTAATGAACCGTGTAGCTGAAATATAGTTGTCTTGATTGAACCTTGTTTCTGTATATGATAATGCTGAATGAACCCTAGTTGTTCTCAATGAACCGTGTAGCTGAAATATAGTTGTCTTGATTGAACCTTGTTTCTGTATATGATAACGCTGAATGAACCATAGTTGTTCTCAATGAACCGTGTAGCTGAAATATAGTTGTCTTGATTGAACCTTGTTTCTGTATATGATAATGCTGAATGAACCCTAGTTGTTCTCAATGAACCGTGTAGCTGAAATATAGTTGTCTTGATTGAACCTTGTTTCTGTATATGATAACGCTGAATGAACCATAGTTGTTCTCAATGAACCGTGTTGCTGAAATATAGTTGTCTTGATTGAACCTTGTTTCTGTATAAGATAATGCTGAATGAACCCTACTTGTTCTCAATGAACCGTGTAGCTGAAATATAGTTGTCTTGATTAAAACCTTGTTTCTGTATATGATAATGGTCAATGAACCCTAGTTGTTCTTAATGAACCGTGTAGCTGAAATATAGTTGTCTTGATTGAACCTTGTTTCTGTATATGATAATGCTGAATGAACCCTAGTTGTTCTTAATGAACCGTGTAGCTGAAATATAGTTGTCTTGATTAAAACCTTGTTTCTGTATATGATAATGGTGAATGAACCCTAGTTGTTCTTAATGAACCGTGTAGCTGAAATATAGTTGTCTTGATTGAACCTTGTTTCTGTATATGATAATGCTGAATGAACCCTAGTTGTTCTCAATGAACCGTGTAGCTGAAATATAGTTGTCTTGATTGAACCCTTGTTTCTGTATATGATAACGCTGAATGAACCCTAGTTGTTCTCAATGAACCGGGTAGCTGAAATATAATTGTCTTGATTGAACCTTGTTTCTGTATATGATAACGCTGAATGAACCCTAGTTGTTCTCAATGAACCGTGTAGCTGAAATATAGTTGTCTTGATTGAATCTTGTTTCTGTATAAGATAATGGTGAATGAACCCTAGTTGTTCTCAATGAACCGTGTTGCTGAAATATAGTTGTCTTGATTGAACCTTGTTTCTGTATAAGATAATGGTGAATGAACCCTACTTGTTCTCAATGAACCGTGTAGCTGAAATATAGTTGTCTTGATTGAGCCTTGTTTCTGTGTATGATAATGCTGAATGAACCCTAGTTGTTCTCAATGAACCGTGTTGCTGAAATATAGTTGTCTTGATTGAACCTTGTTTCTGTATAAGATAATGGTGAATGAACCCTAGTTGTTCTCAATGAACCGTGTTGCTGAAATATAGTTGTCTTCATTGAGCCTTGTTTCTGTGTATGATAATGGTGAATGAACCCTAGTTGTTCTCAATGAACCGTGTTGCTGAAATATAGTTGTCTTGATTGAACCTTGTTTCTGTATATGATAATGCTGAATGAAGCCTATTTCTGTAAACATGTAAACATATCCCGATAAACTGTAGCACGAATATAGAATTATCTTCATTGAACGCTGTAGCAGATGGGAATTATCCTGAATGTACCGTTTGCTTATGGACCATGTTACGTATGGTTTGTTTTACAGAGACGAAATCAACATTGCTGTGCTTGAGCTCCGGGAGATAGGAGAACTCCACAAACTAAGAAGGAAATGGTGGTACGACAAGGGTAAATGTGGAGACGTTGATGGATCAAAGGTAAATATCTAAATTGTATTAAATTTCTAAATATTTTTTACACTTCATTTAAACTAAATTATCACGAAGAGCATGACCATTTTACAAGAAAACGTAACAGAAGCACATCGTTAGATGTATGCAAGTCTTTCCTGATATCAAACTTCTAAAGGTATTTATACTTGTATCTCTGGCTTTTATCTCCTTTAGAAATATATCACTATTTTGAAAAACAAAAAATGGGAATGCATAGTATTTTATGCAGGACTATTGAGTCATATGCAAGACTTTGTATATCACAAAGACGGATATCTCAAAAGGTACCAAACATTTTATATATACAGCCGGAACGGTACAATCGATTCTGCTTTTGGCAGAAATTTATTATTGAATTTAAAAATTCTTATCAATGAAATCAGCGTAATCTCATACCTCATCAGGAGTTATCATCGAGTCATACACCGAGTTTTCTCCCTTTGTCATACACTCTGAATTAATATGAATGAACGGAGATTTGTATGTTTTCAAAAGAGAAGGAGCACTTTGTCCAAATAACAGACACTTCAAATTGTCGGTTGGGCTCCTGTACATATATCAGTAAAAACGTTTCCTTCATACTAACTGGGTTCACAGTACTTCAATCATTATGTATTAACGTTTTGATGTCTGATCACAAGAATTAATTCGTTTGCTCATCACGGGGTACTCCCTGGTGTAAAACAATCCACCTAGCTAGGCCGAACTGCGTCCCTTAACTGACATATTTGTCTAAGGATAGGCAATTTTCTGCTCCTAGTTGTCCCCCTTTTTCTCGCCAGGATCCGTAAGTTTGTCCAGATTCAATCTGATATTGACCCTTGGGTTGTCACCACCATGTCCTTGCTTATGGGTTTCAATAAAGGGGAAAACGTTGTATTGATTGTATTGAGCTGAAACAGCTGTGACGTTAACCCAACTTACTTTTCAGGACGCTACCCAGAGCGCCCTTACGTTGAGCAATGTATCTGGAATCTTCCACATCCTCATTGGGGGACTTGTGCTGGCAATGATTACGTCGGCTTTGGAATATTTAGCACAGAAAAAATTAAAAGCAAATCGTGCCAAGGTAACTCTTATCATACCTTAGTAACGTAAACATTTCGTCATCTCGAAAATTCAGACGCAGTGTGACATATGTTCAACGCTTCGTATGTGCATGCCCTGCAAGTCACACCATCTCGACACGCTCTGGTCTGATTTGATCTGTTATAAACCCTCTTCAGAATGAGTATGCCGAAACCTGCTATCAATTTCTTTCAATAATCCGTGTTATAAAGTATTATTGTTGTGTGAATAATTTATAAGAACAGTATATGTTCATATGATATATTTTCTGATCATATTTCTACAAGAGATTGTGATGCAATACGTTGTATCTATGTACGATTGAGAACATTGACCATTTTGAAATATATCAATAATGATGAATTAAAAACATTACGTGCTTGTGTCCACTATGAATCACTGGGTACGTGGCTTTTAATTGGAGGTCATTTCGGTAGTCTTGTGGTTACATCTGTTTCACAGAAGACCGGAGTTCGATTCCCAATATATCAAACCAAGATGTCGTCATCACATTGCTGAAATACTACCCCAAGCGTTGTTGAATCCTATAACTCTTATACAACAACTTACGAAACTGGTACAATGTGAAAGCGAATACAAGCCGATCGGGCACATAAATATAATATAAGGCCCGTGTTCTATTCCCCATATGGTACAAATGTGTGAAGCCCATTTCCCGTGTACCCCGACGTGATATTGCTGAAATATTGCTAAAAGCGGCGTAAAACTACTCTCACTCTCCAACTCATACACCTTGTTTGTATGTCATGACCACACTGTTCCTACTTTCCCAATGGAATCTTTTTCAGGAAAATGCCAAAACACAAGCACGTACAAATGCAAACCAAAACCCAGTGAGAAGGGAAAACTTTGAATCCTTTAATACTGGCGCTGCTTTTTCTCCTGAGCAGGAGAACGGAGGGGTACTGTTTCGACAATGATTTGCTTGATAACAGGCAAACACAAGGTGCGTCAACGTCAACTGATTTGCATTCGGCATAGACGGCTAATAAAATGAGCGATTAATAACGACTACCTATCTATTCAATCAGAATGACTAGTAATATCATCACAAATACACTTTGGGGAAGAGACGTCTTAATATTCATGCAAATCTATTGACTTGATGCTCGTTGTTTTGTTTCTATCAAACAAATCATTTCAATCCTTTCCTTTTGTGGGTTTATATCTTTGCTATTGTATATCGTTTTATAATATATTCTTGATATTTCTTTAAAAGCGTTTCTTCTTGGTAAATGCATTTATTTCTCCAAAGCATGTCGTACTCTCGTCTTTATATAAATTCCATCTGCTCTCTATCCTTAAAATACGTTTAAGCTTGATTTAATTCTTTTCACGAAAACACTATTCATTCATACGACGTAAGTAAAATAAATGAAATGAAATGTTAGCAATAAAACAAGTGCACACATTTTAAAGAAACAAATGAGTTATTAATGTCTTTAGTAATAAATTCAATGTTCAAAATAAGTTAGCAATTTTCTCTGAAATTTTAAACATTGATTTTTGCCTCAAAATATACTAAACGTTCATTATTAAATATCAATATTAAGACCTTCATCGTTCTTACGTACATGGTCCTTCCATAAACAAATTTCATGTATGTAATCAATTTTGTTCACAGTGTGAAGGATGTTGACTTTCCTGTTTCAGTACCACTTTGCACCAGCTGGGCAGCTCATCACCTTTGAGACTCCTCCGAAAGGAAACCAGACGGAAATCTAATTTGAATATGTGACAAACTGCCAAAATATTCCAATGGAGTCTCTGTTCTTTGATGTGTGGAAAATCTCAGATTCTTCCAGTAACTATCTTCTGAGGAATTCAGTGATATCAAAGGGACACATGCCCTTTCACTGATAACTTGATAATAAGGATATTATATGTATCTTCCAATAATATTTTTGTGTCCATGTGATATTTTAATATGATGATTGACTGTGGTATTTCAAAATGTAGACTTAACATTGGTCGATATGACGTTGGTGTGACACAAAACGTCAACGGCAGAGAAACATTTTCAAGATATCAGTGACAAGGTACAAATGTGACATATGCCTTTTGTATCGAAAATTATGACCATTTGAAAAATGTATGGATACTACTGGTATTAGCACAGACTGGATGCAGGTACTGTCCCCCAGATCAAGTAAATAGATAATATGAAAAAAACGAGGCATATTTTTTGTTTCAATGGTTGTAAATGACAGAAAGTAATTATGAAATAGAGACTTCAGATGAGTGCTATTCAACCACACATTCCATCACTGATAATCCATATCCCCATTTGTATATAGTTCATTTTGATAATGGTACTCATGTTAATCCTTCTTCAAGTGCTTAACCGTTTTGTTATGTAACACCATGATAACTTCACACGTTTTGTTAAAATACACATTCGATGGTTTATTGAAATCTCTACACGTCTCTGCAGGTGTTGTCATGGTAACATTCACACAAGTGCACAAAACCACTAGTAGTTGAATTGGTTCATTGAAATGAATACCCCAGTGTCGAAATACTGTTGCAACATCTATCGCACGTTCATAGATATATGCTGGGATGTTTTAGGTAGCATTAAGTGCTTGTGTTGAACACAATCATATAACAATGGCTTGTACGGCAACTATTCAATCAAGAACATTCTCGGAAAACCTCTTTAACTTATTCATATAAAACCAATGATTTGCCAATGAATATAAGGTTTTGTTCAATCTTTGTAATAAATATGCGACTTCTAAAGTCATCTGATGTACACAATTTGCAAAAAAGACCACATATTAAGTTTAACCACATGTTGTTTTGTATTAAGAGTCTGTATTTGTAAATAATGTGTTCAGATACTCTGTTGATATATTTTATACCGGAATCATCCAAAGATGATAAGTTGCAAAGAAAATCATATGTGTATATGTTGTAGTTTAGTTGTTGTGTTTGACTTCCATTGTAAATACCATCTCTGCAGATATCTGTGTATTACTTGTTTACAAAGTGTATTGCACAACGTTGATGTGTTCTTTGTGGATAATGATATTTATATTAGGTTAATTTGATTTGCCTTAAATAGTATTAAAACCAGTTTTATACAAACACGTTTCTCCCTATTCAATCGATAATTACTCGACAAACATTCTAAATATATATTAGAATTAACCAATCGGGGTGAAGAGTTCACCTTACACATAAAACAATACTGTAATGTATTAATGCTGTGGATGTTTTGAAGTACAGCGAAACCTCGTTCACCAGAAGTTCTCGGGATATCGAACATATATCGATTTAACCGTAGTTCGATAAAAACAGTTAGCTGATATTAGACCATATGTTTGATAAGGATTCCACAGGTACCATAAAGCTACAAGATATAACATCTTAAACAAATTATCGTGTTGATGGAATTCGGCTAAGATCTCCTTTCTCTGAGCGTTAACTGGAAACATATGGGGATCATAGAACATAAGCAGAGTGTTCGTCCTGTGACACTGATACTCTGTCTGTGTAAGGTGTGAAGGGCCCAGAATCATAGCTGCAAGGATTCGTTTGTGGTGGGTTCGAACCCCAATATAATCCAAGGGTTGTCAGCACAAACCCATCCTCCTGGGTTTCAAACCAAACATTAACGACCTGCACCACTGTGAATGTCCATTCACGTTAAACTGGCGCGGTCGGGTAAGAACGTAAACGTTGTTCATTTACTCACTAATCTATTGCTCAATAGTATGTCTTGACTTACGTTATTCCACCATGCACAATCAAATTGTGACGCCATATAACGTTATACACTTCACCGGGGCGGCGGGGTAGCGGGGGTAGCCAAATGGGTAAAGCGTTCGCTAGTCACGCCGAAGACCCGGGTTCGATTCCCGATATGGGTACAATGACATTTGTGTAAAGCACATTTCTGGTGTCCCCCGCCGTGATATTGCTAGAATATTGCTACAAGCGGCCTAAAACCATATTCAATCACTCACTTACTCACTCATTCACTAACTCACTTGCACTCACTTCAATAATTTTCGCTCATCAATCGTAGATTTCCAAACGGTGATATTAAAGCCGGTATTGTTCCTGAAGTCTAACCGAGGACCAGGTCCCGTGTGTAAATACGACATTATCTATACTCAATATAACATATTTCTTTGATTTCTCTTCTAAACATGATGGAGTTGTTTGTAAGGTTCTAGAGAAATAACAAAATAATCATATTTGTAGCTGAAAAGTCACAAAGGTCTCTTCATCGAGCCTCCTCCAACTTGAGGGGCGGGCGGGTAGCCTAGTGGTTAAAGCGTTCACTCGTCTCGCCGTAGACCCGCGTTCGATTCCCGACATGGGTACAATGTGTGAAGCCCATTTCTGGTGTCCCCCGCCGTGATATTGCAGGAATATTGCTAAAAGCGGCGTAAAATCAAACTCACTCACTCCACCAACTTGAAATATTTTGGACAATATATAATCTGTGATGACGACAAAATAAATACAAAACATCAAAATATTAATATCCGTGCTTTCTTTTCTTCTTCTTAGTTTATGTGGAATTTCATGTTGCTGTGATCATAATTTGATTTTCATCAGAGACCTCCGACCTCGGTTCAGCTTTGTGACGGCGGCCTCTAAATAATCAAATCTGGACCAGACAATCCAGTGATTGACATCATGAGCATCGATCCACGCAATTGGGATACGATGATATGCATCAACCAAGTCAGCGAGCCTGAACACCCAATCCCGCCTTTTACAGCAAGCGGGGCGGTCGGGTAGCCTAGTGGTTAAAGCGTTCGCTCATCACGCTGAAGACCCGGGTTCGATTCCCGACATGGGTACAATGTGTGAAGCCCATTTCTGGTCTCCCTCGCCGTGATATTGCTGGAATATTGCTAAAAGCGGCGTAAAACTATACTCACTCACTCACTCATTTACAGCAAGCATTGGTTGCTGAAGACCTATTCTACCCTTGATATTCACGGGTCCCTCGAATATGTATAAACCGCCGTCACGTAGCTTGAATGTTGCTGAGCACGGCCTTAAAAAACAAACGATCAGATAAACAATACATTTATTTTTTAATTACATGGTTTAAATGAAAATATTTTTTTGAACGATGTATATTTCTTCTCGGCAACACTATAAACTTACATATAGGTCGGTGAGGGAGGGAATTATTCCGTGGACGTTTAAACAGGCCAACATTACTTTTTTCATGTTTGGTATTTTACTAAACAGGACTACTTTTAAAAGATTGTATTAAAACATGTTCTGAAATTTAATACTTTTATTTCGCCCAACGATTTTCGTATTTTTTTAAAAAGACAAAAGAGGAGAAGAGAGTGAAGGAATCGGTCACGTTCTGACCGAGGAACATCGATGTCACGTCATCATTGGGACTCGTCTGCAAAGTAAAGAACTCTTCCAGAAATATAAATGTTTCACACATGACATTGTGCAACTCTGTGTTAAAACAGTCCACATTGGTATAAATATACACACATGAAGTCGACTTTAGCCGTAAAAAGCTACTGTCTGTGAAAACCCACGGTGGTTGTAGCCGATTAGTCTTGACAAGAGCAAGAAATTCCGGATTTCATATTATTGATTTTATTCCTAGCCGCCATAGTTCGTAAAGTATCTGAAGGTCAGTTTGTAAGCATTTAAGCATAAGCACAAGGTTGTTTTCCATGGGCACACGTTGATCAAGATACTCATTTTCTCATCGTAATTAGCCAGGCGGATTGCATAAGATGTCGTTTGTAATAATGGAGGTGCCTTTATGGTACCCAAAATCTACAACAGTCAATTTTAGAATCATTCACAAGTGTTAAGTATTAGTGTTCAGTAACGCGTTAAAACGGTTATTGCGGAGGGAAATCGGAATAACGCGAATTTGAAAATTTTGGGATACACGAGGGACAGTGAATGGTTCTGAGCCTCTTTTCAAGCAACATCCTGCCTTGCCTCTTCCAATATTCTTGCAAAGTGAATATTAATTATTTGAATATAAAGTAAATATGTACGAATCACATTGTACATGATTTTTTAAAAGGTAATATGTTCATGTTTTTTTCATTAACGCCTTACAATTGTTCTCTATATGGAGGATTCTTACCTATCACAATACACATTCAAGAAAAACAAGCAGGCTTTTAATCGCCAATACTGAAAGTTGGTTAGTTGGTTTGTTGTTTAACGCCGCACTCAGCAATATTCCAGCTATATAACGGCGGTCTGTAAATAATCCCAATTAGGATAGTTACGAAAACATGCATCAACCAAGTCAGCGAGCCTGACCACCCGATCCCGTTAGTCGCCTCTTACGGCAAGCACAGTGGCCTTTTACGGCAAGCAAAGGTTGCTGAAGACCTATTCATCCCCGGATCTTCATATACTGAAAGTGACGCACTACTTCAGTTGCACGTATATACATGGGGAGGTTTATCAATACATCTTATAAGAATTAAATACGTCAAAATACAAGCAAAGTTAGCTTACACCCGCACTAGTGCATAAAATCAATTCCAGATAGAATATTCACTTTATGTAAATGGATGAATTTCACTTAAAATACTTGAGGTCACCGGAGTGTTTTTGCTGTTGAGTTTGTAAAATTGACTTCAGCTCTCTTTATTTTCCAATGGATCACCAAGTCACTCCCCCTTGCAACGCGCTAGACGATGTCATTTGATATACATAAAATTTGGAAGTTCTTTGTATCGTGAACCGTCACTTGAGAAATGTGCTCACTACATTTCGCTTTGTCAGTACAGAAGGGCAGAGTAATTGAATTCTAAACAAAATTTGGCAAGGACGCAGCTTGTAAGGAAAATCGATGGCAGCATTTTTATAAGGTCTCCTAGACTTTGGAGCAACGGTGTCAATAATAAATGAACCCTGGTTTTTAGCTGCGATTGGATTTGTTTAAAGGGACAGTTAACACATCTGAATTACTGAAGCTGTCCACCTGATTGCGCATGAAGACAGAAGTGGAGAATGTAATCAACACATATACATACAAGTGGAATTACATTGGATGAAGCGCCTTCGTGGTATTGACTGTTTTTTAATATTGAAAACCTACATCATCATACATTCATGTCGTGGCCATAGTGACCTAATCACCAGGCCAGTCTCATTGAGTCTTTGAAGAATATATGGAGATAATGTCCCCAGCGGAATCCACAGCGCGTAAGCAGGGCTGTTATAGGAAAATTCGCTATGTTTGTAACGGACTTGTGATTTCTCAATGCAAAAAAGAGGATCACAGAAATATTGAATTTGAACGATCGAATCATTTTCTCCCAGACATCGTTGATATGGAATGCAGAATATGTCTGATATTTATGGAATACTATCAGGGACATTCCCGTGTTCTCACATATCGAACGAAGGCCCTCATGTGTCATCTGATGTTCTTGAGTAGGGGGCGGTGAGGGGTAGGCGGTATTTTGTGGGTATAGGGTATGGGAACTGAGCTTTTGGAAATATTTCAAAACGCTGAAACATAATTTGCCCTCAGTTTTAACCCACACGAACATTAACACTGGCCAAGCTGGACATCTCTGACTGCGGCGTAAAACAACATGAAACTGAAACTGAACTGTTCAGTAGTATACCAGGGATGTGTTTACCATGTATGTGAACATTCAGATAAGCAGAGTGAGTGTGTGAGTTAAAATGTAACGTCGCCTCGGTATTCCTGCAGCCATATAGCGACGAGACCAAGTTAATTTATTCACAATTGAGTTATTTATGCAAAAGTTGTAT